CGGGAAGCGGCGCGGGCCGAGGGATGTGCTGGTCACCCTTCCTGCAGCCCCTATTGGCCTGGGACGGCGAACCGCAACCAGTGGGAGCTGCGATTGGCCGAACCTGCTGACGCAGCAGGTAAACAAACTGGCCTGGCCCGCCAGGTGCTTTCCCTGGCGGGTCACATGCCAAAGGTTGCCGATCCCTGCCTTAGTACCTACTCTAGAAACAGAATGGACATCTATGATGGGGTAGTCTGCCCCCGTAAGGGTGCCAGTCAGCCCATCCCTGGTCATGTGACATGGCTGTTTAAAACGTTGGAAACTTTCTGGTGTATGCAAAGGCCTAGGAAATAAGCTGTATTGGGGGAGAGGAAGTGGACCCAGGAATAAGTGTTAATTTGGAGAAAGTCACTTACTGTTTCTTTAAGGGCCAGGATCAGGAGCCTTGCAGAGTGGTCAGGGTAAGAATCCCCTCTCACCCAATCAGTTGGGAATGATCTGGGAGAAGGGGACTAGTATGTACGCCACCTCCTCTCTCATAGCAGGGCAGAGATCAGCAGGAGAAGGCTGACCTGCGGAATCCTCCAAGATAGAGGACTGATTGGGAAAAGGCACCCACCTGAGGGTGAAGCTGGCTAAAGCCTTGTAACTTAGAATCATAGAAGATTAGGGTTGGAAGAGACCTCAGGAGGTCATCTAGTCCAACCCCCTGCTCAAAGCAGGACCAACCCCAACTAAATCATCCCAGCCAGGGCTTTGTCAAGCTTGGCCTTAAAAACATCTAAGGATGGAGATTCCACCACCTCCCTCGGTGACCCATTCCAGTGCTTCACCATCTTCCTAGTGAAATACTGTTTCCTAATATCCAACCTAGACCTCCCCCACTGCAACTTGAGACCATTGCTCCTTGTTCTGTCAACTTGCCCAAACCATTACCCCAGCTCCATAGAAGAGATCCAGTGGAGATTCCTGTCTGGGGTAGGGAGATCTGATTGCCTGAACCACAACCCCAGCTCCAGGAGGAGGGCCGAGGTGAGCCCCTGCCTGAAAAAGATAGCGCATGACCTGCATGGCTCATAACCTCAGCTCCAAGAAGAGAGCTGGGGATGGGTGGGGGTGGAATCCTGCTTTAAGGAAGGAAACAATACAGATGGTTTGAAACATAACCTGGTGAGTGCCAGAGAGGCTGAGAAGCCCCTGGGAGTGGAGCAGGGGCTCACAATACAGGCAGAGGAGAAGCCACCCACAGAATCTCAGGAGGAGAGTACCTTAGGGTTGAACCAGGGAAACAGTATACAGGAGGAGCTCAATAGAAAGCAGGCCAGGAAACAGTATAGGGTTGGGGAGAGATTGGCGTAACCGCTTTATACTGGGCCTTGGCCTGGAACGTAGGGAAGAGGCAGGACTGGGTTCCCCTACCAAACTCAGCAAGAGGGTTTATTAAGGACTGGACCAAGTTGGCCAAACCCAAAGAGACCAGGGGCTGCATGCCCCAGTTAGGAAGACTGGCCTCCTGAAGCACTGGACTTTTCAGCACCCTGAAAGGGGACAGGACTACCAACAACCCAACTGGAGGACTGAGGTCTTGACAAAGGACCAACAAGTGAGCTAGACAGCAAAAGCTCCATCTGAATGTTGACTTCTTCTCACGGGATCGTGAAGAGCAGTTGGGGGAGGGGAGGCAGACCTCAAATGGAGTCATAAGGGGGAGGATGTGTGAAAGAGCAGAGAAACTGCTGCCTGGCACAGCAGGGGTTAAAGAAAACCTGTGGGCTCAGCTAGCCACGCTCCGCTATACCTGCAGCCAATGCCAGGCCCAGAGGGGGGAGAAAAGGAAGGAGCCTGGCTCAGTTGGGGGCTGTCTGTCAAGATCTGAGGCACCCCGACTTGAGCGAAGATCCTCATAAGCTTCATAGTCACTGTTTTGGAATTCATGGAGCATAATGGCATGGCTTTCACGTCTAAAGCACGATATGTGGTCTGTGCTACCCCGATTAAGTATGGGGCCAGCACTGCAACCCATTGGTCTCGGGGCTACCATGGCTACCCGCTCAAAAGTTTCTAAGGAAGCCTCGGGATCATCCTCAGGCACCATTTTGGTAAACCGGATAGGGGCAGGGTTAGCTGACTCTGCTGGAGCACTGAGTCGCAGTATGGAGGCCACCTGCTGGACTAGCTGCTGCTGCTGCTGCTGGGCTGCCAATTCACGAATTAACTGCTGCTGCTGGGTGGCCATCTGCTGCAGGAGTTGTTGCTGTTTATGGTGGGTGTTTTGCTCGGCCATCCATTTCAGCAGCTGTTCCATCTCCATTCAAGGTCTTTCCTTTTGTTTGGACTTTTGCTTTTTTTTTAAATTCCCTTCAGCAGGGACTAGGGCGATACCCGTGTTCTCCACCACCTGTGATAGAGCCTTCGGTGGCCAGGCAGCCTAGTGGCTAGATCATTGGTCAGATAGGTTGGAGGGGGACCCAGACTCTCCCCAGGGCCCTGTGTAGTTCACACCCCCTAAACAGGTTGATGGATCTGCCTCTCTGTCGGGGGGTTCAAGACCCACTTCCCTGGGCTGCTACTTATTAGAGTCTCTTTATTTTGGGTATGGCCCCATTAGTTCAATTACCCCACAGTTGGGGCTTAGCTGCAGGCTCCCCTTGGCAGGGGAAGGTTTCCTTGCCTCCAGTGGCTGTGTTGACTGTACGGTCACTGATCCATCCCTTCAGGCAGGCAAACAGAGAGCTCCTGCTTCCTTGTCAGACAGCCCCCAACGGAGCCAGGCTCCCTCCTTTTCTCCCCCCTCCAGGCCTGGCATTGGCTGCAGGTATAGCAAGGCGGTGCTAGCTGAGCCCACAGGTTTTCTTTAACCCCGGTTGTGCCAGGCGGCAGTTTCCCTGCTCCTTCACAGGAGCAAAGCTCATGAAGTCGTATGGGCTTCCCGGATGTGTACTTTGGGATGCAGGAAAGGGGTGCCAGTTGTGAAACAGCCCAGCAGCTGAGACTTGCTACCGGACTAGCTGCTTCCAGCATTTTAATGATCGTTTACATTTTATATAGCATCTTTTTGTATGGATGGATTCTAAAGTTCTTTACAAACTGATATATCAACTATTTACCTAAACCATTTGATGGGCATCAAGCACAGCAACTGTTTAAAACAGCCTAGCTCTACTACATTTTAGGGCAGGATTTAAAATGGAAGGAGAATTTAAATAGGCAGAATATAATTTTCAGAACTAGAATTTTGCAAGGAGATTGAAGTTACATTTCTGGTCTTGTAATAATAATAATTATTAATAATTGGATCTTTTAATTATAACAGTTGGTTAGAACCTGGGTTTTATAGCTTCGCTGAGAGATGGTATCTCCAATAGTAATGCACCTTGTAATATCAGACTGAGGTATTGGTTAAATACTAATTTTAGAGGGAAGAGAATGCCTCCTGAATCACACTTCTCCTGAAGATGCCTTCTTTTGGTTAGTGTCTTCCTCTAAACCCAAAGACTTTGTTACCTTTAGAAAGGTGGATGGAGATGACCTAGCCCAGCCAGTAGCTCCACTCTCCTCACAGTTAGGAAGACCCCAAGTAAGGAAGAACTTGAAGTAATTTGTAGCAGAAGTTATGGGAGGTAAAGTTCCATCAAAGTTCAGATAGCTCTATGAACGTTGCAGTTCTTTGCTTTTTTTCTGTAGATAGAGAAAACTAGCTATGTTGAAAGCAGCTGATATAAATACATGAAGAAAGTTACTAAGTTCATATTTGTTAATTATTTACGTAAATTAAGAGAAGCTGTTTAAAATCCAGCTGTGGAATTAAAAGATCCTGTTTCAAAACACTTTCTCTAACAGTATTTCCTTATCTTTATATTTTCTATTGTTCACAGCCTTAACCATTGTTTGTTAACTAACATATGGTTGATTTGAATGAAAATCTTTGATAAAAACTGTTCCAAAATTAATTACGCATATGGTGTGTACCTAATTTATTTTTCTATATTGTGTTTTTTTTATCAAGATGACATGAGAGTAGAACATCTCCATGTTCTATTGATTCCAATGGCATTTTCTCACTTGAAAAATATATAACATATATATCTACCCTGTTTTCTGGGTTCTCAGTCATAAAGCCACATACTTAAAAGCAAGTTTTTAATGCAGTATATAGACCAGTGGTTCTCAGACTTTTGTATTGGTGACCCCTTTCACACAGCAAACCTATGAGTGCAACCCCCCCTTACAAATTAAAAACACATTTTTTATATTTAACACTATTATAAATGCTGGAGGCGAAGCGGGTTTTGGGGTGGAGACTGACAGTTCGCAACCCCCACATAATAACCCTGAGGAGTCATGACCCCCAATTTGAGAACCCCTGACATAGACCTTGGGAAAGCTTGTTGCATAAGCAACAGTGTATAGCTTCTTTATTGAAGAACACAGGCCTCTCAGAAGGCTATTCGCCTTTCTTTCTGGTGCTACGTTGAACATGCTGTAGAAGGGAAGTGGATTTATTTTTTTGGAGAGTGGGGTGATTTAGGGTTGCTCATGTAAGCAGTCCCATTGTACTCCAGTAGCTCTCAAAATGAGTAGAGTTGCAGAATTAGGCCCTTAAGCAGTACAAAGGTTATTTCACTTATGTCATTATGAATATGTTTAACAATAAAAATGATTTACCCCTTGTAGCTGAGATTTAGCAAGTGAAATTTCAGAAATGTGACTACAGGCTTATTGTAATGAGAGATTTCTGAATGCAATAAATTATTCAAGCTGTAACTTGTTACTAGTTTAATATTCAGTTTAAATTCTTATAGGAAGCCTATTCCAAAATGATTTCCTTACAATAAATAGGGCTATGGCTGAAGTTTAGTTAATGTGTCCCTGTTTAATTTTTAATCCCTACTTTATTGAAACAAAGTTAACACTTCAAAAGCACGTGTGAAATGTGTGTAACCTTTTTTGTTGTCTGCAGAAATAAAAAGTGACCTTTTCAGTGCAAGCTGTGATTTTACCATCTGCTTGTCTTACAGCTAGACCGTTGGTACAAACACTGCCATTAAGGACAACTGTTAATAATGGAACCGTGTTACCAAAGAAACCAAGTGGCTCTCTACCTTCCCCATCAGGAACCAGGAAGGAAACTGTGTCACCAGCAACAAAGAGGTATGGAGAAACTTGAAATATGTGTAAGGTTATTAAATTAATTGAGAAAGTAGTAAATGTCATTGTTACGCTTTTATAAGAGCATGAATGTGCAGGTTTTTCTCTCTTTAGATAACACTTTCAAAGCAATGGTTTAGATAATTTAAAGTGATTTACAGTTAAAATCTTGTAAAAATACTTACAACATCTTTCTATTCATACCAAGTTAATTAATCAGGCCTAATGTTATTGCAGTAAATACCATAGAAATACACAATGATTAGTCTATTATTTATGTGTTTCTTTCTTGATTCTGCAGTCTAGTAGATTAAGAGTAGGAAATTTCTGCTTTGGATTTCAGAACACGTTCTGAAAAGTAATACCAGGGTTCTTTGTTTTAGACAATATAAGAAACAAAATCTGGGGAAGGCATGCGGTCCCGTGACAAAGTCATATAATGCTATTGGTCACTTTTTCTCAGTAAAATTATTTTATGTAGAAATCTAATTTGCTGTGTTGTACAAGGAAATTCACTTATTTCAAACCACATCTAGCAAATTCTTATACCAGTGAAAGAAACCCTGCTCTGACTTCTTACTATTAACATGTATTTAAGTCCCTTTAAAAAATTCCTTAAATGTCTTGGGTGTGGTTTAAAAATTAGTATGCTTCATATTTGTGTATTCCTTTACATAGCCAAGCTCTGGGAAACTTAGTGGGGTGGGTGGAACAGGTTTAATTTGGGCAAACCAGAGATGCACTGCAGAGCCAGTCTGTTATGCCCCCTGGTGCAAAAGATAAGATTCTGTGTATGATTGATTTTTCCTTCTACATTCCCCTACCTTGAATGCCAAACCAGCTTTGGGTGGTAGTAATACTATCAGTCTGTGGAAGGCAGATTGTAGAGATAAGAATACCAATGTGTCCAGAAATTACTTGTGTTTGTAGAGGATACAGATTTTACATTAAACATGAGGTAGAAACCAATGATGTGCTATGATGGAAACCAGCCATTGACATGATGAAAGGGAAGTGTTGCTGATTACCCAGAATGCTCAAGTTATTGTCACCACAAAGCTCTTAGCACAAAGCGGCTTATACTCTACACCACACAGTGATAGAATCAGTAAACATCACGCTGTTGTTTCTACCTATCTGAGATGAAGCTGACCTCTATGACCTGGGGGCTCAGTGCAGTTGCAGGTTCAGCAGTATTGTTTGAACCAGCCCTGCTGATGGGAAGGCAAGATAAATTTAAATGGGTGAAATGTCATCAGAATGTTTAAAAGTAGATGAGAACCTATTTTAAAAAGGAAAAACTGTTTTTAGTGTTTCAGAAGTAAAGTAACACCGATTTGTATATACTGCATTTTTAGAGTGTTTAATTTTATTCATCATAATTCCTTTCCCTAGCACTAGTAAAGAAGAGTTGTTGCACATAGTAATTGCAAAATAAAATGCAGCATATGAGTATTAACACACTCCAGATGTACACGTAGAGTGTTATTTCATGCTCTGCTTCTAAGGGTATGTCTACACTATGAAATTAGGTCGATTTTATAGAAGTCGATTTTTAGAAATCGATTTTGTACAGTCGATTGTGTATGTCCCCACTAAGTGCATTAAGTCAGCGGAGTGCGTCCTCACTACCGTGGCTAGCATCGACTCACTGTGCACTGTGGGAAGCTATCTCACAGTGCCCGCAGTCTCCACTGCCCACTGGAATTCTGGGTTAAACTCCCAATGCCTGATGGGGCAAAAACATTGTCGTGGGTGGGTTTTGGGTACATGTCGTCAGTCTCCCTTCCCTCCCTCTCTCCCTCCTTCCCTCCCTCCCTCTGTGAAAGCAGCTGCAGACAATTATTTTGTGCCTTTTTTCCTGGGTTACCTGTGCAGACACCATAGCACGGCAAGCATGGAGCCCGCTCAGCTCACCACTGCTGTTGCGAGCATTGTAAACACCTTGCGCATTATACTGCAGTATGTGCAGAATCTGGCTAAGAGACGGCAGCACGAGGACAATTGTGAGGAGGACATGGACACAGACATTCCTGAAAGCGTGGGATGTGGCAATTGGGACATCATGGCGGCAGTGGGGCTTGTTGATACAGTGACACGCCGATTCTGGGCCCGGCAAACAAGCACAGACTGGTGGGACCGCATAGTGTTGCAGGTGTGGGATGATTCCCAGTGGCTGCGAAACTTTTGCATGCGTAAGACCACTTTCCTGGAACTCTGAGAGTTGCTTTCCCCCTCCCTGAAGTACAGGAATACCAAGATGAGAGCTGCCCTGACAGTTGAGAAGTGAGTGGCAATAGCCCTGTGGAAACTTGCAATGCCTGACTGCTACCGGTCAGTCGGGAATCAATTTGGAGTGGGCAAATCTACTGTGGGGACTGCTGTGATTCAAGTAGCCAATACAGTCACTAACGTTCTGCTATCAAGGGTAGTGACTCTGGGAAATGTGCAGTTCATAGTGGATGGCTTTACTGCAATGGGTTTCCCTAACTGTGGTGGGGCAATAGACGGAACGCATATCCGTATCTTGGCACTGGACCACCTTGCCAACCAGTACATAAACTTCAAGTGGTACTTCTCAATGGTGCTGCAAGCACTGGTGGATCACAAGGGACGTTTCACCGACATAAATGTGGGATGGCCGGGAAAGGTGCATGGCGCTCGCATCTTTAGGAACTCCAGGCTGTTTGAGCAGCTGCAAGAAGGGACTTACTTCCCAGACCAGAAAATTACTGTTGGGGATGTTGAAATGCCAATAGTTATCCTTGGAGACCCAGCCTACCCCTTGCTCCCATGGCTCATGAAGCCATACACAGGCAGTCTGAACAGTAGTAAGGAGCAGTTCAACTATAGGCTGAGCAAGTTCAGAATGGTGGTAGAATGTGTCTTTGGATGTTTAAAAGCTCACTGGCCCTGTTTGTTGACTAGGTTAGACCTCAGTGCAACCAATATTACCATTGTTATTACTGCTTGCTGTGTGCTCCATTGTATTGTGAGAGTAAGGAGGAGACGTTTATGGCAGAGTGGGAGGTTGAGGCAAATCGCCTGGCTGCCAATTTTGAACAGCCAGACACCAGGGCAATTAGAAGAGCACAGGTAGGCGCGCTGCGCATCAGAGAGGCTTTGAAAACCAGTTTCATGACTGGCCAGGCTACGGTTTGACAGTTGTGTATGTTTCTCCTTGATGCAAACCCGCCCCCTTTGTTGATTTTAATTCCCTGTAAGCCAGCCATCCTCCCCCCTTCGATCACAGCTGGCAAAGGAAATAAAGTCACAATTGTTTTGAAACCATGCATTCTTTGTTTATTAATTTTAAAAAAGGGAGATAACTGATAAGGTAGCCTGGGTGGGGTAGGGTGGGGTGGGAGAGGAGGGAAGGACAAGGCCACATTGCTTATTGTAGCCACACTACAAATCAAAACTGTTTGAATGACAGCCTTCTGTTGCTTGGGCCATCCTCTGGAGTGGAGTGGCTGGGTACCCGGAGCCTCTCCCCCGCCCCGCGTTCTTGGGCATCTGGGTGAGGAGGATATGGAACTTGGGGAGGAGAGCAGGCGGTTGTACAGTGGATGCAGCAGTGGTCTGTGCTCTTGCTGGCTTTCCTGCAGCTCCACCAGATGCCTGAGCATGTCCGTTTGCTCCCCCATTAGCCTCAGCATTGCATCCTGCTTCTTCTCATCGCACTCACTTAATGCTTTCCTGGACTCTGCCACTGAATGCCTCCATGCATTTAGCTGTACCCTATCAGTGCAGGAGGACTGCATGAGCTCGGAAAACATGTCATCGCGAGTGCGTTTTTTTCGCCTTCTAATCTGCGATAACCTCAGGGACAGAGATGATTGGGGGAGCATAGAAACATTTGCACCTGCGGGGGGATAAAAAGGGAGAGTAAAATTTAAGATGATACATTTCTGAGAACAAAAGGGAGACTCTTTCACAGTGAATCAAGCAATTCACAGCAGACAGCACGTGTGCTTTAGGTACAAGGTCACATTTTGCCTTTTATATTGAGCGCTTGCCGGTATGGTGACACATCACACACGGCTGGGCAACAGAATTCGGTTTCTAGGCAGCCATGGTAAGCCAAAGGGTACGCGGGTTTGGCTTCTAACGTCCTCCTAAACGTGTGGGAATGTTTTTAAACTGCAGTGCCCTCCTTTCCCATAGCAAGTAATGCCAGTTGTGTTTGCCATTTAAAAGGAGGGGCTGCGGTTTTCAGGTGGATGTGCAGCACACACCTCTCCCCACCCATCCATGTGGCTATTTGGGATGATCCCTTCACCCCTCCCCCTGCTGCGGGGCTATTCTCAGGGATGATCCCTTTTAGCCAAGCGCAAACAGCCCAGCATGAACGGGGTCCTTTTACTGTTCCCTTACAAAAATTCCCCTATTTCAACCAGGTGACCATGAATGATATCACTCTCCTGAGGCTAACACAGAAAGATATAGACCGAATGTTGCTTGAATATGACCAAAACCCAGGACCATTCGCTGCCAAGCTTTGTGCTGCAATGATTCCAGACTATTGCTACTGGCTTGGCGTGGTTAAGTGTCCTACCATGGAGGACGAAATAAGGCAGCCCTGCCCAGAAACCTTCTGCAAAGGCTTTCAGAGTACCTCCTGGAGAGCTTCATGGATATGTCCCTGGAGGATTTCCGCTCCATCCCCAGACACGTTAACAGACTTTTCCAGTAGCTGTACTGGCCGCGAAGGCATCCCAAGTCTTCCAGGCAAATCAAACATTAAACACTATTGCTTTTAAACCCTGTACTGTAGTTACAAATGTGCACTCACCAGAGGTACCTTCTCCGCCTTCAGGGTCGGGGATCCCACTTTGAGAGGGTATTGGCTCCAGGGTGATGAAAAGGTCCTGGCTGCCGGGGAGAACAGATTCACCGCTTGCCTGCTGCGCGTTCTCCTCCTCCTCCTCCTCTTCCTCTTCCTCATCCACAGAATCCTCCTCCATGTTGCGTGAGACTCCCCCCTTGCAGGTGTCTATGGA